AAGCTTATAACACTGCTTATAAATGAGCCCACACAGATACTGGAAAATAGTATGAATGTTGGCCGTTCAATGTCTCAATACTAGCAAATAGTCTCAGGCACATAAAATTTCCTACAATGGATGTAACCATGCAGACGCAGCCCAAAACTAAAGGGACAGTGAAGCTGAGGTTGCATAAGAAGTCACACCACCTGAGAAGGACAAAGCAACAAAGAGAAAAAGATCTAGCTTGACGATAGTTGTATGGCTTTTTCGAAATAAGATATTTATCAGAACCAGCTTTACAGCATCTTCAGAGATGTGCGGGAGGAGGTCCCAGAGGCTCACTCGGCTGGCAGGGAATTAGTGCTCCACAGAGAGACCTGCACAGAGCATAATCCTTTCTCAAAACTTCATAGCTACTCAGCTGACATAATTCAATATCTTCAAAGAAGAAAGGACAAAGCATTCATACCATGCCATGCTGCTATTTTTAGGCAATCCTAATTTAATTTACCTCAATAAGAAAAGGTTGAAGCAGCAGATATTGTCACAATGGCCTACTATAACCTAGTGTCAGAGTTTTTCACGTGGTTTTGACTGCGCACTGTTTCTTTTATGTAAGAGTTTGGCCTTTGTCTCTTCGCTGTTCTCCCATATATACATGGACCTCTGCCACTTCTAAGGAAGAAACACAACCCTACCCATGGTGTTCACACAGCCATGGCAACACCACTACTGCCCTCCAGCTCAGCCTGATTTGCCATCATAGAAGGGACAGGGATGGGACAAAGGGGGGGAGGAAGGGAGAGTCACTGCCCAGTCAACCAGACCAGCGCATCCCAGCACGGACTCAGCCAGTCACTCCACTTGCCTTACATCCCTCTCCTGCCACTGGCTCTTCACCTGGCTGTCAGAATAAAGGTAATTTAGAAGGAAAGAGAGAAATGGGGTGAAGGAAGAGACAATGTTAAAATGTCATTTTCTTCAGGCTTTTTATATCCTACCAAGATTATTCAGCTTCCCTTCAGTCCATGAGGAGAGAGTGTCCAGCCTGTTAAACATCTTTCTGAGCCAAAAAGTAGAGGAACTTGGAAACAGTCTTGGTATATATCTGAAGGAAATCCAACTCTAAGAATTATTTGAAAGTGATCGTAAATTTTCTAAGACAGTCAACAGCACAGATCTGTACATACTCCGCATACAAAGAGGCAATTCCTCCCAGAGAAAACTGCAGTAATACTTAATTTGAGGAATACAGACACAGGAAAGTATCTTAGAAATGCCAAAGAAATACACATCTATAACAGTCACATGTATGAATGGATAAAAAGAGCTTTAAACTAACATAAAAACTTTAGCAAGAGCATGTAGGAATGTCCATGCTATGACAAACTGACTTTCAGCAAAGCACTTTGTTCAGCAAAAGCTGTCACACGCAGCAAGGATCTGAAAAAAGACGACCAGGAATTTGATGTGCCAGGTCTGTGAAGGATGACGAGCAGATACTGATTTTGCACATCTGGGAACCCGTGATATTGAAAAACAATAATGCCATGGAAAGTGTGCCACAAACTAAAAAAATTCACAAATCATGACATAACTGATCCCAGAATCACCTTATAGAAAACTTAAAGCACCAAACATTTCAAACAAAACAAAACAAAACCACCAAAACAGAAGGAAAACCAAACCCACCATTCCAGCAAGGACCAGAATAGTCTTTATTGAATACAAAAGACAACACGAGAAAAGAAGATGGAGTGTCGGTAGTTCAGGTTGTAGATGAGCAACCTGGTCTAGTGGAAGGTGTCCTTGCCCATGGCAGGGGGGTTGGAACTAGAGGTCCCTTCCAACCCAAACCATTCTATGGTTTCAGCAATGCTCTTCACAGCTTTGCCCCAAGACTCCCACAGTCAGTTACTGCTGGACCTCAGACAGGAGATCCAGTAGGGAATGATTTCAGAGGTATTTATTCCAGATGAACTTGAATGAAATCTCATGAAGCACAAACAAATGACATTTAAAAAGTGATGGCATCAGCACTAGGACCAAGGAAGCTTGCTGTCCTCAGGGTTTATGTCTTGTGATTGACTGAGGGCTGCGGTCAAATTTTTTTCCCATGGTTAAGGCATTTATAAACATTTGCTGCCATGTGGATTCTCTTTTGCTTAGTAACATGTGAGCCCATGAATGCCTTTTCTCATTCAGGATTTCTCTCAGGCTTTTCTCTCCTCACCCAGTGGGGCATATTTTCAAAAAACTCATTGGAGCTTTTTTTTTTTTTCCCTCTTTAGAACTTAGCCATCTGTCAAAATCATTCAAATCATCTGCAGAATTATAAATCACTGGTGAGGTTGGGCAGAGAGGAGAGAAACGAACTAACACTTACGTTGCAAGTAATTTCCAAAGTCCTGTTCCTTTAGCAACCTGACCACGAACAAAGACAACAAAAATCTTTAATAACAGAAGCATTAGATAGTCTAAGTATGGACACAGATAGTCTGATAAAGTAAACATGTCATAGTACTGTTTAAAATTATTACAACTATCTACCTTTTTTTGAAAGGTCATTAAAAAATTGGTGACTTGGTATGATTTCCTTCTTAGGATGAACGCTCACCACATTTATGACGTGACGACTGGCATGTTTGAAGTGTACATATGAATAGATCCAGAAGAAATCCCAAGTGCTGACTGATGAAGGACATAATGATTTGTACAAAACTTACAGAGCGGCAATTTATTACTGTTGGCTAAACCCCCCTGAATTCACCAACAAAGAAAATTCCAGAAATCATCCAGTCCCCAAGAGCAACACAATAAAACTACTGCAACATGAAGCTGTACTTTGGGACTCAGAAAAACCAAAGTCTCTGATTATCTTAAATTTGTCACTCCACAGCTTTTTCCCAGCTATAAACTACAAGCAGATCATTGAATACAAAGTAGCTATGACAATTACCACACCAACATGTCGTCTGTTCTGAGTAGACAGAGCATCTGCATAACATCATTTATGAAAATGAACATGAAGGTGTTAAGAATTATGAATGTTTTCATAAATGAATATAAATAGGTCACATGTAACTTTATGATAATGGAATTAAAACACAACAATACCAATAAACATAGATTTTTATATATAAAAGTGTCATTTATTGTAAGGAAACTTTAAATATAACCAACAATATTGAAAATATCGTGACTGGCATTTATGGCCTTGATTGTAGTTTACTGCCATACAAGTAATTTCTAGCATTTTTCTTAATCACATCAAGCTAGTGCAAAATATAGGTAGCTTTTAGAGATTAAGCATACAGAATGACAAGAATGTAGATTTTGGTTACCTGATATTTCCTTCTAGTATAACAGGCTTCTCTTTTTTTCCATAAAACAAAAGTACAAAGGTATGTTATCGTATGTGCAATTATTCATATCACATTTCTAGACTTAAAAAAATTATATTTGTAAATTTTGCTTAGATTGTATTTTGTTAGGAATCTGATTTGTAATTTATACCATACTGTATGATATAAATTATATATTGTTATAATTTCATATACAGGTATGATTATATAAATTGTCAGATCACCAACTATAGGATAATAATGACATCAACATACACAAATATATGGCATTAGAAAAGTCGTTATCTAAGAAGGAAAGATGTTACAATTCAGGTGTTTGGAACCGGGCACAAGCAGCCTTCCTACGATTCTTGTAGTATCATTTTGGCAGAACTACTGCCAGTCACCATTATGTGCACTAGCTTTCCACGTACATCCACAGACAGGTCAGTAAGCAGTATTAAAATTGGACTGTGCCTGAAATTTCCAGTCACACCCTTGTAAGCAATGAGCCCTGTGCTCCTAATTAAGACTAGATTCTCTCTCCACAGTCTCAGAAGGTAGCCCATGCTATTATGGCTAAAAAGATACCATTTTATGATGACCTACAGGTTTTTGAAAGCAGAATATATTAGCTTTAGGAATGACATACTTTCCAGACTTGTGCAAAGCTTTAAAAGTATTGATTTTTCAAATTAAAAATATTTTTGTACTTCCTGATAAGGATTTTTCAAGGACAAGCTTAGTTTAGCATGGCTTTTGATATCAGTCACTTCAGTAATCGAGTCTGGTCTTTGATAGCTGAGATTAGACTGCAAGAAGAGAGATATACAGAGATCATTTCTTTTGAAATAGGTAAGAGATTTAACAGATAAAAAAAAGTGAGATCTAAAAAAAAATTAACTGGAGAACAAGCATAGAGAAAACAAAATGCATAAATATAAAACAAGGGAGAAGGAAAACAATACAGGTTATGTATGATTAGGTAGAACATAACAACGATCTATGCCTTTGCTTCTAAACGATTAAGGTTGATTTGTCAGCTGTCCTCACTCTAGACTGTACAGAATATATGTAACTAATAAAAAATGCGGTTTATTGCAAAAATATACAAGTCCTCTAAATTGCATAAGATATTACAATGTCGTGCTGAAACATGACATTAAACAAAGAGGACTTTTAAACAAATTACAAAATGTTAAAAATCAGATTTGGGTCATGAGCGTTACACAAAATGCATCGTCATGCTTTATCTTATGATTAGTCTTGTGATTCACTACATTTGTGATAAATGCAACATAAAATCATGACAACTGTAATAGTCAGAAAGTAATATCTACTGTGTATCGTCTGTATTAATACATATAAACACTTTGTGTGCACTAATACTTTCAACATATCACATTCAAACTAACAGTCTTTCCAGAGAAGTTGTAACCTTTTTGAAGAACAGAAGCTGGTTTAACAAGTTGATCGCATGTGGGTTTTTGAAATCTACTCTTTACGAAAACGTTGTGTTAAAGGGCTTGATTTTCAAAGGTGCTGTGCTACTGCGAGTCGTCTTAATGCCAGATGGAACCATCAATGCTAAGCACTTTCAAAAATCAAGCCCACAATTTACTGAATTCCTATTTTGTTTACGAGTATTTCCACTGTATTAAGTCAAAAAAAAATACCCCCCAAACCCATTCTTAAAATCACAGAAAATGCTTGGCATCTATAGGAAGAGAGACAATTTCTCAGTGGACTAACCACTAGTGTGCTATATTCTCGTAACAGATCTTGTTGCTCCAATGTTTGTTTCATGCACTGGGATCAGCAATGTCCAAGTTTGTTCCAAACAAAGCAAGTAGCTGCTCTTCATAGTTTGCAATGTTTCTTTTCAGAATTTCCATACAAGGTCCCAAAAGCCTTTCAAATGCCTGCACGTCCATAACTAAGAGAAAAGGGGAGAGAAAGAGAAAGAATATAAAATGTTTGCCAGTTGCTGACACTAATCTTGGTGTTTATGACATTGCAATGTAAAATTTTAAATGATAATGGTACAGATACTACTGAGGCATATACTTTGCACAGAAGAGAACCACTTACTGTAGCATAACCAATATCAACCAACACAATGCTGTCTTGAAACTTCATAAAGAAAGTTAGAATTTGCTGGGTTTCTTACTTTGAAAATATTTTAATTTTTTTAATTTAATATTAATAATTTTTGTGACTGAAGAGCTGCTGAGAAAGTCTGGAGGGGCCTGGATTCCTCCACAGTATACAATTTTAAGACCCCTGAGATTTCAAAAAAACACATCCTTTGCTGATGGTTTTATTTGGGGTCTAACTTAGCATATTTCCTTGCTATTTTTGCTTGTTTCCACCTATAGTGGAAATTGTAATAGATTCTTATTTCCCAGCAAACGTATGAGAAGTTGGAGACGGTAATTCACATGTAATGTTAATGTGTAGCCAACCAGAATATTTTCTTTACCTGATCACATAATGTTATCCTCTATAGTTCTAGCCAATAGGCCAGGGAGGAAACTTCATACTTAACCAGCTTCCAACATGGTGGCCTGTAGTCCCCTGGCTCCGGAGAGAAGCTGAAGATCTCTGCTATCTGGGAAGTGCCGGAGATCTTAGCAACTCACCCATCCTGGGAAATGACACTGGTACTCAGCACTGCCTCTTTTTATTTCCTCTGTGTCATCTTTGATCTTTATTGCCTGATCATCTCTGTGTGTTTGGAGATCAGGATTTAAAAAAATAATACTTTAAAAGTAAGTGAGAAACTTGTTGTTTCTGGGTCAGTAATGAACTGTCATTGAAGAACGCCAAATCTGTCTTTGCAGTTTACAGTTTTCCCATAATTGGATGCAAATATTTAGGAGCTAAACATTAGACTCCGCCTGAGGCTACAGTGTGATGGAATGATTAAATTAACAGCTGGTGAAGAGAAAGACTTTGTTAGAGCTTAAGTCATGGTGATAAAACAGGACAGGATTTTTACCACAGTTATTTCTTGGATGAGAGTCAGTCTACTGAGAAAAGAAATACTTTACTTTTCTGCAGAGTATTAGACATTTATCTGGTTGCTATAAATGGTTTGCAGCAATACTCTCTGTACTGTCCTGAAGCAATTTTCACTTCCACGTGATCAGAGAAACATTGGAGAATTTGTGTTTTGCAAACACAATTTATGTGAATTATGAGAATTTATGAATTGCAAATATTTTTTGCAGATAAATAATGTAAACAGGAATGCACCATAATCAACGATGTACTTTGTGTAAAAATGTAATTAAATCTTATATTCTGGTGAAAGACAGAGTTCACAAGAAAAACAACCAGATAGATTATGTAAAATTTTATATTAGATATAAAATATAATTGAACCGTACCTAAGCATTTGACAGTGCCAAGAGCAAATGCAGAAGCGGCTCGTGGTTTGTTAGTTACAAGAGCAAGTTCTCCAAAATACTGTCCTCTTGAGCATCGAGCTATTTCAACGGCTCCATTCTCTTCTACATCTTGTTTACCCTGAAATATCAGGTAAAAAAGAGAAAGGAAGAGAAAGAATGAGAGATTTGCTGAACTCTGAATTGTATAAGCAAAATTAGTAATGAGAGCATTACTGTTTAAATACTGTTTAACACTTAAAATACATTAAGATTTAAAAAATATAAAATTGTGTATTTTAGGGATGTTTACCTTCCTTGTCATTATAATCCTTACTTCTCCAGATTCCACAATGAAGAAAGAATCAGCCAAATCACCCTGTAGAAGAAAAAAAACAAAGTGAGTAAAGGAAATGTGAAATTTCTTTTTCAGTTTGATGGTAACATTGAAATATTTGTAGCCAGTGCCTTGAAGCTCATCTGCTTAACACCTTTTGCAAAAGAAATATTTTTTCATGTGAAAACCATACTCAAGGTACATAATAATCAAAACATCTATACAGAACTGACAGGAAGGTCTTTTCATGAAAAGACATAGCTGACACAGCCTAATAGAAAAAGCAGAGAAAAACAACATTATAGAAGATTTTAGAATCCTTCCTGCTGCTTCTCCACCTTTGTACTCCTTCCAAGTTATTTCCCTTACAGAATTTCCAGTATAAAAAGCATCCAAGGGGGCTACCTGATATACAGTAATTATTTTGGGGCAAGACAAACTCAGTTGCCTAAATTGCAGAGCTTACTTCTGCGTTCTTCTTCAAAGGGTTCTCATATTTTAACGACAAAAACAAGGTAAGTCTTCAGTGCTCCTTACTGAAAGCAATCATTCTTTTACATAGTTTGAATTTCTAAGTATACTACAATTGTTGACTCCTTTACTCATACCAATGAAGAGGCATGTTTTATGAAGTAACATAAGTGAAAAATTAGCTTCTGAGACAAGATAATCACCTCTTAGATACAAGATTGTTTTTGTTTCATTTGACAAAGAAAAACATAGTTTAAAAGTATGTGGTGTCTATAGATAACATGGTAATTGTTACGTATTGGAAAAGAAAAACAAACTAGAAATAAACTGTACCTGAGCAATGATTTGTTCTCCATCTTTGTACACTTTGGTGCCAATCACATCAACCACTTTTAAACGCTCAGATACCTTCATTTACAAAAAGAAAACATAAGACATATTTGGTTAACTTTATGATATTATATTTAGAAGGCCCTTTCATATTTCTTTTCATTAATCTTTGAACAGAATAGTGTATCTTTATTTTCCTGTTTCGATAATCATTAAAAAAAGAACTGCTGAACAGTGTTCCAGAGGGTATATTATAGTCTTAACACTAGATGTTTTTACAGAGCTTCCATTTTCGTAGGAAGTCTATATAACCCAAGTCTTCCAAACTTATTTTCAGAAAAGCAAGCATGTAAAAATATAGCTATTAAATGAAAATATTTTGAAATTCCCTAACTCATTGTTTAATTTTATTAGCTAATATCTAGTAAAATTAAGCTTAAGAAAATGAAAGTAAAAAAAAAAATTAAAAAAATACAATATTAACAATAGTTCTTTATTCTGAAAATTTAGGAATATCAAAAATGTGGTCTTTCTCCAAAACAAAACCATGCAAAATTTTATTGTGGAGAAAATTTTAATTTCAAATTTAAACTCTGCAAAAGCAGAATCTTATTAAGTACCTTTGATACAGCCATTAAAATAATGCAACAGAAATCTTACTTCTAAAGATTTAAGGAATGGCAATGACTCAATAAAATTTTCATACATTCTTCTCTTTTTGGCATTATTTTTCACAATGATTCTTCGGAACGTTACCCTGTCCTGTAAACACAAAGAGAAAAAGAGAGTTTATTAACAGAAAATATGTGTGTGGTGGGAAATACTTTAGGAATGGCCGAACATGTTCAAATTACCCAATTTTAGCCACTCATTGTAGCCGTCAAACTAGCTAGCTAGTCTCCCCATACAGTCAACTGAGAAAGATTCCTCTAGAGGTCAATCAAGAGCTCCTAAAGCTAAGCTCCTGATCTGATTCATGCATGAAATGCTTTCTCTGCCCTTCGTCAGAGAATACATATAGAGTTTACATATAAAGGGTAGAGAGTTTACCTTACACAATGAACAGTGGGCAATTTAAGATATTTAAGAAATCCTCAATATTTAAATATTTAAATTACAAAGCTTATTCATTATCCTGAGGTCCCATATATATTGATATGTACTCAAAGAGGTTTTTTATATTATTATACAAACAAAACCAAAATACATGGGTCTGGGTCTTAGATCACAGTCCACTTTCTGCTATTTCAGCAGAACAAGAATCATTGCTGCCCTAAACAGCCAACTGCACATTCCTTAGTATTTGGCAATCCAAGTGAAGCAGACAGATGGCAAAACTACATTTACGCTGTTTTCTTCTCTTAACTTCATATGACTGTGTCCTGGTGACAGAGGTGAAATGCTTTGCAAGCCTTCATGGCTACACGTGGGACTTGCTGGCCAATAAAACTCAATCCAGTTCAAAGGCATTCTTATAGTGTCCTAAACTCTGCCATGATCCCAAAAGCTGTATGGATTACATTGGTGAAAAACATCCACTTCGCTTCAACAGGAAAACATTATCTTGGGATCAGTCATTAGATTGACATCTAAGTCTTGATCAAGATAGCTATCCCATTCTTATTCTTTGGTAAATTCTATTACTCGTCAAAGATACAGACAATATAACGCTGATAAATAACCTCATATTTGAATTTTACTCTGGAATCAAAGACATTGCCTGTCAAGATGTGGGAAAACATTTTATGTATGTGTCTAAGTAATTGTCAAGTGGTTTGCAATTTGGGAAATTATCACTAATTTAGAATAAAACAAAATTATTTTTTAAAAAACAGTGTTTTCTAAAGCCTCAGGTTTGCTTCTATAGATTCTGGAACAATATAGTATTGTGTTGGGAGTTCTCAGAAATTTTAAAATTAAACTTTCTGAAATTATAATTCATTTTTTAATGGTGATACTGCATACCAGTGCAATTTATGTAAAATAATTAAAACAAATAGTATCTTAAAACAAGTATTTCACTTACCAAACCCCAGATGGCACCAGGAGAGGTAGCTATAATTGTAGCTGCTCTGGGTGTATTGTACATTAAGGCCAACTCACCAAAACTTCCTCTGTTATCATAGGTTCCAACACACCTCCCAACACCATCGCATTTTACATAAATATCATATGTACCTCTGTTAATAAAAGATACAAATACAGTGAGCAGAATCCAGTCCTGGTCTTTGTTAAGCAGCCTCTCACTATATTTTTTAATACCATGAATTACAGCGATAAAGCTTTTGAAATAAATATACATTAACTTGTTTAAATGATATTAAACACCTTGCAGAGACATCTGAAACACTTCCATAAATACTAAAGTAGTTCCTTTTTAAAGGGAAGGATAGGGTTATTAGTTTTACATTAACTCGGTTTAAAGATAGACTGGATGTACAGTGATCTATTGACCACCAGAACTTATTAAAAATTAATATCTTAGTATCTGTTTCTTAATTTAATTTTAAACACACTAAATGCAAATATAAGACATCTGCAAAAATTGCTATGATATGATTACTGAAATAATAATACAAGTTATTTAACATTTAAAATATTTTAAAGTAGTAATTTATAATGTAATAAATAGAGGAGATGCTGGAAATGGAAAAAACGTATAAGAAAAGCAACAGAAGATCATGAAATAAAAATATGTATTTATCTAACATATAATATATTGTGGATTTCTTCTCCATATCATTAAATTGGTAACTTTTGTTTTGGGAATACAGTAAAATCTCGAATCTTATAAAATATGACATAGCCACCCCCATTGATGCTGAGTCATAATTTTGTTCAGTGCTGAATATTTGTATGGTATGTGTTGATAAACCATGTGAATGTAATGCAAAAATCTGTACAATGATTTAATTGATAAGGGACATAGAGGTGATTCACTGCACCTAAAAACTGCAAGGCTGACAGAATACTGTGAAGTCCCTGTGGCTTTTTTGTTAAGAGATGACAAACTGTAACCTCACAAAGCTGAAAAACATTGACTCTTCAGCAAAGAGTCCTGACACACTTCTACAATCTCCTGACTGAATATTTCAGTTGGAATTGACCTACACTGATCACCTAGTCCAACTGCCTGATCAAAAATTAAAGGATAGTATTATTAGAATTACATCTGGCCAGGGACATCAAGGGCAACAAGAAGAACTTCTATAGGTACGTCAACGATAAAAGGAAGACTATGGAAAATGTAGGCTCTCTCAAGAAGGAAACAGGAGACCTGGTTACCCAGGATATGGAGAGGGTTGAGGTACTCAGTGACTTTTTTGCTTCAGTCTTCACTGACAAGTGCCCAAGCCACACCACCCAAGTTGCAGGAGGCAAAGAATGGGAGAATGAAGAACTGCCTGCTGTAGGAGAAGATCAGGTTCTTGGCCATCTAAGGAACCTGAAGGTGCACAAGTCCATGGGACCTGATGAGATCCACCCACGGGTCCTGAGGGAACTGATGGATGAAGTTGCCAAACCACTGTCCATCATGTTTGAGAAGTTGTCGCACTCTGGTGAAGTTACCACTGACTAGAAAAGGGGAAACATAACCCCCATTTTTAAAGAGGGAAATAAGGAAGACCCAAGGAACTACAAGCCAGTCAGTCTCACCTCTGTGCCTGGTGAGATCATGGAGCAAATCCTTCTGGAAACTCTGCTAAGCTACATGGAAAATAAGGAGGTGACTGGTGCCAGCCAACATGGCTTCACTAAGGGCAAATTGTGCCTGATGAATTTGGTGGCCTTCTACGACGGGGTCACAGAATTGGTGGATAAGCGAAGAGCAGCTGATATAATCTACCTGGACTTGTGCAAAGCATTTGACACTGTCCTGCATGGCATCCTTGTCTCTAAATTGGAGAGACATGGATTTGACAGAAGGACCACTCGGTGGATAGGGAACTGGCTAGACGGCCGCACCCAAAGAGTTGTGGTCAACGGCTCAATGTCCAAGTGGAGACCGGTGATGAGTGGTGCTCCGCAGGGGTCGGTACTGGGACCAGTGATGTTTAACATCTTTGTCAGAGACATGGACAGTGGGATCGAGCGCACCCTCAGCAAGTTTGCCAAAGACATCAAGCTGTGTGGTGTGGTGGACACGCTGGAGGGAAGGGATGCCATCCAAAAAGACCTAGACAGGCTTGAGAGGTGGGCCAATGCAAACCTCATGAAGTTCAACAAGGCCAAGTGCAAGGTCATCCAAATGGGTCGAGGCAATCGCAAGCACAGATACAGGCTGGGCAGAAAAAGGACTGAGGGCAGCCCTGAGGAGAAGGACGTGGGAGTG